CATGCAGTTAACCTAATTATTTCAAGTCTGGTGCAAAAACGCATGATCGCACCGGCTCGTCTGGTGTGTTCCAGCCTGGGTTTTGAAATATTTTTATTCCTGTTTATAATTCACATACTGTCTAGGGAGTAGATATTAGCTAATTTGTGAAATAAATATTGGGGTCTGAAACATATAGTATATGCAAAAAAATAATTATTATTTAGCTGAGATTAAGACGTTTCGACCCTTCAGAGTTTTACATTTAAGTCCAATAGGGTCGCAGGAATCTATTCAGATATCACTTGTAGACTTATTGCAGAGCAGTCTGTGTTTCATCCCTTAGCTGTAAACACTGCTAGAGCACAATGCGCATTCGGCCACGAAGTTATTTTAAGTAACAGGAAAGTTTTGTGCGTTTTAAATTGTCTATTTATAGAAGTAAAATTTGCTGATTTTGCACGCTGTCCTGCAAAAATGTATGCGTTAGCTGTACGTGGATTGCTCGCAACGCGAACTTTTAAGGCTGCACAATTCGTTCCAGCATTTTGTACTTTCGGGATGCCACCAAAACGTGGAAAGGGACGGAAGCGTGCCCAGAACCCTGTTAAATCATCGGCGAAAGGGGAAGAAAATGGAGAAACAACGACTGCCGGTGCTGCTGCTGCGGCAGCTGGAGGTTCTGGGTCCGGAACAGCTCCTGCTCCTACGGTCGTGGTTTCCGGATCCGGAAACGAACAGCCAGAAACGAAAAAAGCCAGAACGGCAAAAGGAGGCAAAAAGCGAAAACCGGAAAAAGCGGGGGAAGCCCTCAAAATCATCACTTGGAATGTTGCTGGCCTTCGAGCATGGATTAAGGTTAGTCAGAATAATATAGTTAATAAGTTGCTTTATCTCGGAGTTTCACGAATTCCTGGATTTTTTTTTTCTTGAACAGAGTAAAAGTTTCTTTTGCATTTTATTAATTTTCGACAAATTTCTTAGTGACTTGATCAATGCTAAATAACCTGGTGATCAGTCTATCAGCTACCCTGACGGTGGCTTTTCTGCTGAGTGCCCGTTCACTGAAAAAATGTAACTTTGAAGGAAGTCGGGAGGGGATAATGAAGTCTGCAAAATGGACTCGCTTTTGAGTTTGCGATAAAAAGAGGACACAATTTTTTTGTGGAAATTTATATACAAAAAAATACAGGGTTTTGCAAAAAATCTGGAGGTTTCACTAGATAAAATCCAAGGAAAAAAAAAGAGAAAACTCTCTATAATTGCAGAAAAAAGGACATGAGGTTTTGGCAAAAGAAGATCCAGATATTATTGCACTGCAAGAAACAAAATGCACCGAAATTCCGGATGAATTAAAAAATGGTTATCACTGTTTCATGGATAGCGCTGAAAGATCGGGTCACGGTGGTGTGCTGATGCTAACGAAGCAGGAACCAGTCGAGGTTATTTTTTAATTTTTTTAAAAAAAAGGACATGTTTCGAAGTCGATAATCTTTTATCTTTTAAGATAACCGAAGACTGATATATCCCATTAAGATGGATAAAACCTAGTAGAATGCGTACCGGCTGCCGGTACGAGGATGCGTTTTTTGCGCAGTTCCCCCCGCAGGCTTTTT